ATGAGAATATTCAAACAAACAATACAAAATGAATTTAATTGTAAAATATGCTACAAAGTGTTTATTGACATATTTTATAAACCCTTAAATGGTTAGAACAAAACACATGAAAATGATTCACAATATACATATAATTCATTTCATTGAAGCATTTTCAGCAATAAATATACAATCAGTGACCTAATTTTCTGAGAATTTTATGTTTAAATAAGTTGACTGACACTGTCACATAAATGATTTGCAATGAAACAATTCAAAAACTGTCAATACTTTCGTTTCATTCTATTTAGGACTCCTCAGCTGAATTTACCTGCATCTCAGAGTTGATGTTCACTCTTGGACTCGAACCCAGTACCATTCGCATCAAACGTCACCGCGTTATCCTGATAGCTACCTGCTCGTACAATGGGGTGAAGTTTAAATTCACTTGATGTTGTTTTACTTGAGAATAGTCAGCTGGATGTACCTGCATCTCAGAGTTGATGCTGAAATAGGACGAAACACGCGTCTTGAATTCCACTGCTAGCCACTATCCATCTTTGCTTAAAAAAGCTTGTGAGTTAAGGCTACATTGAGGCAATCCGCACAGGATGCTCATATACCAACATGAGACTAATCAATTGCAGTCTTAAATAACAATGGGGAGATATAAGTAAAACGACACCAATTAAACCTGTTAATACTTCTTCTCTGAAAATCACTAGCAATAATTAGCATTTCAAACCATAGCAGCATCATCTATCCATAAGGTACCTATTTTCTCTCTAAATATTACCCAAAGATTTTTAGTTTATATTTATATCCAAAATTGAAATCTCTTCATTCAGCATGCTATTACTATAAACAATAATGATGTAAATGTTTGTTTATTTGTTTTTTCCTTTTTAAAAGAATCCCAATAGCTTTCAACTCTAATTCATTATTCATTGTTTCTTTGTTTTTTCAGTATAACTGCAATTTAAGAATATTTTCAATAATACATTTAGCAATATGTTTATTAAAGATTTTTTTTCATTTAAACCAATGGTTTTTTTTAAATTGCCAATTTGTCTTAAAATTTTAAACATAATTATGATCACCGCTAATTTCTGACGGTTACTATGGTGATAGCTAAAAAGAATTTTTTTGATTTTTTCTAATGTTATATTTAGTATCCATATAAGAGTAAATTAATGAACGATTTATTACTATCACTAAAATATGCTATTCATTTACATCTGAGCAATAACAACAACAACAACAACAGCAACAAAAACGTAAACACCTTTTTTATATCAACTTGCCTAATATGGAAAATACACTTATAAAACAATACTAAATATTATAAATTATTCATAATGCAGTTACGATGGTTATGTATCCTATTTCTTAGTATTGATTAAATTACATATCAAGCATTATAGTATCACCATAGTTTTCTTTTTGTTTAGATTTGATTTAAATGAACAATTGGTATTTTGAAATTGATTGATATAAATGTCTACCGGGAACAATTTTATTCAACTAGATTTATTGTCATGGAATGCTTCAATTAAATCAAATATTGTTTGTTTATTTAATATATATATATATATAAACGTATATATAAATCATTGTCATTGATATGACTTTATTCATTAAATCGAAGTGTTTTCGAACAGTTGATGAGCTGATCTCATGATGTAATAGAAATATATTAAGTTTTATCACTAAGCCATAATGAACAATTTGTTTGACAGAATCATCATAGGATATCATGTTTGGGTAGACGTTTTTTAAATTGATTACTATTATTCTAAACAAAGATTGATGGTAGCTAGAAGTGGAATCGTTCTATTTTGGGACTCATCAGCTGAATAGGAAGATTTAAATAAACAATACAAACAGATCATTATTATTGTTGTTCAAATTAACTAAAGAACACTAAGATAAACATTATTATATGATAAAGTTAATTAGTTTATTGAAGTCGTTCATTTACAATTAAGCAGAAAGTAAATTACACCATCTAAGAGTAAATATGAAAAATATGTATCATTTTTACAAATTTTCTTTCCTGAATAAAACGATATATATTCACTGTTGTAACTAGAAATCCTTATTTGCAAACATTTTCTTTCCACATATATTTTACATTTAAAATATACTGAACATTGGTGAAAGATATTCAGATCCACTGCTGAGGACGAAACGGCCGTCCACTCCTTCCAGGTTTTCCATGGTGGTCTAGCTTCAATTGACTCATGATCTCAAATGTTGAAATTACTACAATCTCCACAAAACCCCTTTTGAAAATAATAATAAGTTTAAACGTATCAATACCATGATTGAACTTGATAGTTTCAAATAAATTGAGAATAGCGTAAAGAATGAACAATCAATATATTTTTGTTATATCCTAATAAATAGAAAAATTATATTTCTAACGTTTCGTGACTTATTGTACGTCACCTCCTCAGTGTAAACGTCAGGAATACAATTTTTCTACTCATTAGAATATAACAAAAAATATGCATAAAAAGGAATTTTATCGTTTGTTCTATGAAAGAAACTAGTGACTTTTTTCTAAGAAGCCCAAATGATTTAAGCAAAAGTTTGTTTGAAAAGAGCAAGAATAAAGATTCGAGCAGAATAGCATGAATTCATTTAATTTCATAGGTTCTCGTCAGCCGCTTACAAACTGTCATATTTGGAATGATAATTACATAATGGGTTTTAATGACTTACATGAAAGAGTTTGGTTGCAAGTTATATTGAAGACATATTCGTATAGTATAGCAAGGGTGTAAATAAAATTAATAGACGGAATATTCTAAATGTATACTTTATGTGAGAGTACGTTCTACAACATTGATTGTGACAACAGTTCAAACGGCCAGAAACAAGTGATTATATGATGAATAAATATTGGTAGGAATATAGTGAGTAGAGCTCAGTTGATAAAATACGATTATTAACTTGGCAGATAATTGAAATAAAACTCAATGATGTAATAAATGCAGTAAACAGTTTAAAGAAAGAGAAAAAACTTTTAACATGCAGCGAAAGAGTATTTGTCACCAAGGCAACACATAGGTCAGGTTTTTGACGCCTGATGGCAACGGCTTCAGCAAACTTCAGAAGACTGCAGTTTGGCTGCTTACTAATCACCTTAAAAGATTGCAAGATATCTACCTGATGTTCTGTATCAAAAAGATGTTCGGTGATTGCACTGTTTAGTATTTCTTTCCCTTGTTCTGAGACGTTTTGGAACATGTTCAAAAAATCTAACATATGCTCTCCTTTCAGCCAATGTAGCTGCTTTGGCAGGTATGCATGAATTTATAAATACCGTTAGCCGTAACAACCTTGCTATACTACACGAATATGTCTTCAATATAACTTCCAACCTAACTCTTTCATGTAGGAATTTTAAACCCATTATGTAATTATCATTTCAAATATGACAGGTTGTAAGCGGCTGACGAGAACCTACAAAATCAAATGAATTCATGCTATTCTGCTCAAATCTTTATTCTTACCCTTTTCAAAATGATAAACGGAACTATGTGTATGAAATTTCTCAAAAGTTTGTTGTTATATTCACTTGCTAGATAATATAACTCACAATGTTTTATTAACATCATCAAGGTTACTTAATGGACAAAATAATAAAAAGAATATAGTACTGACATAATACAGAATGAACAAAATATCAGGAAAGTTTATATAGCAACATGATTTATTATACAAAAGGAAACTATTCAATTACATGTCACTTTGTAATAGTAAGTAATTTTCGGTAATCAGCAAAATCTAGACATTAGTGGAATCTTTAAATAATTTACTAAAACATAGTAGTAAATGTATCATAGTCAAAGATACAAATAAATTATTCCATTATTATTATAATACAGTTAATACAATCATTCTTTGTTCAGTAGTATAATTCATTTATTAGGTGAGAAGATTTAACGTTTCTAACTGAATTGTCTTAATAATATTCATGCTTTAATAATTCTATGAAGTATTTATATTAAGGTAGACTCAAATGTTATATAATGATTAGAAATCTGGAGAATGCTCTTGATTAAAGTATCATTTATCGTTTTCTATCTTATGAATAGAAATGAAAATGTGTATAATTAAATCGATATTTACTTAGGAAGGGTTCGTAACTTGTAGGATATATCAATTTTCTGTTTGTGAATTTCTAAATGCGAGTACATTTGTGATTAAAAAATATGTTATTCTAAGAAATATAGCTACGTTAACGAATATACCGATGGTCACCTAATGTTAGGAAGCTTGATGAAGCGGGAACTAACACCATAATTCTGTCAACAATAATGGTGATAATTGTTGGTGAATATCAACAAAGTTCTGGGTTTCTTCCTATCTGCTACCAACCACCCTATTTCATGCCCGTTGTGTAAGTTGACAGTTTTTGTTACCAAGTGACCTTATTTAAATGAGGCTCTGAACGCTCGTTTTTGGCTTCAGTGCATAACTCAACATCATTTTGCACGTGGATTACCCAAAAAACTTTGTAAGAATGAAACTTATGTAATGGATTGAAACCCGAAACAGCATTTAAATTATAATCATATGTCACATAATTACCTAAAACTGCTACATGGAAACAATTACAAAAATATCTTTTAAAACACGATGAGAAATTATCAATACTGACTAATGACTTTCAAAAATATATAACTCTAGTGTTTTTATTCATAATGTCAACAGTACCAGTTAAAATTCTATTTCCCATAACTTGATCATTTCTACATTTTTGTGATTCACTAAGTTCTTTTATGAAGTAACTTACTTCGTTTTCACAGTTGCACATGTCTCAAAACTATAAAAGATATAAATTTCACACAAATCTCTAGATGTTTGGTTGGAAATACTATAAATTCATGTTTTAAAATAGTAACTTAATACACAATTATAATCGAGATATTGAACAGTTTAGCCTAACCGATTATGATAAGTAGAAGAGTTTACGAAAGTATATTTTAATCATTGTTTTACTGTTTCAGATTCATTTCATATATTCGTTGGTGATCTAGCTCCAGAAGTGCAAGATGAAACTTTGTTGGCAGCATTTTCCAACTTCGGAACAATTACGTAAGTTAATCAGTTTCCAGATTATCAGATCGATATTTTTAAATGTTAGATTATATCATGTGAAAACTTACTTCCCCTCATATGTTTTCCGACTTATCAGTGATAGGACACTGAATTGAGGAATGATAGTATGTTCATCAATGATGTCGATCAACAGTTTGACTATAAAATGATTAGTCCAAGAAATGTAATAAAATTTAGTTGCACCACAGTTGACAGTATGACACGATGATTGCTTAAAACGTCGTTCAGCAAACGGCAATTTATCCCTGAAATAATATTTTCAAACTATTCACAGTAATATTATCAACTATTGATTACGCAAGTTTATCTATTTTTGTAGTAAAGCCAGGTTATGGCTAGTGTTAGAGTCTATAACGAGCACCTTGTTCTTTTAATAATATTTGATACACCATATTTATATTCTGCCATTCATTTACAATCAAGTTTATTCTTGCAAAAGCTTGTTGATATTCATTTCTAGTTATTAGCATTGAAGGATTCCAGTATATTTTCGCTAAATGACTAGGATTAAGTGACATAAAATAAATTCATGCTATTAGCTTTAAAGCAATTCTCTTCATGTATAAGAGACAAACGCCAAGAAAAGACACTGGATTATTGAATTACTACACATTTAGATGCTTTTTTGAATGATATTCATTTGTTCCAATTAAAACTATCCATATAATATGAAGGAAAGTTAAAATGAGGTATTCTAGACATAAGGAATAATGAAACTATGTATTTATCATAGTTACTGTTACATTGTTAAGAAGCACGTTTCCACAGAAATTGTAGTATTTTTCTTAGTAGATAGAAAAATATTTTCTTATTTCCGTTAAGTTTGGTTACAAAATGCCACAGTTACTTTCTTCATAGTTAGTGACTTTTTTTAACAAGGTATCTATACCAATTTATCGATACTAGTTTTTCTTCAATCAGACAGTAATTTATACTACACTATTATAAGATTATTAAATGTTCTGTTTCACAGATTGAGATCATGAGTCAATTGAAGCTAGACCACCATGGATAACCTGGAAGCACTGGACGGCAGTTCCGTCCTAGTATGGGACTCCTGGCGCGAGACTGATAGGTCATGGGTTCGAATCTCGCAGGGTGCGGGATCATGGATGCGCACGGCTGAGAAGTTCCATAATAGGACGAAACGGCCGTCCAGTGCTTCCAGGTTTTTCATGGTGGTCTAGCTTCAATTGACTCATGAATTCAATTCGTGAAATTTCTAAAATCTCCACAAATCCCATCTAATAAGTGTTCTGTTTATTAATTAAGATAATAACATTATACATAATTATCATCAGGAAAAGATGTAGACCATTAGGTTTTTTTCAATATAATATACATGATATACTTAATGTAGTTCACATTTGTTTGTTACCAATAATGAGTCCCATATAAATCAAATCACTTAGGAAGCCAGATATATGTACACTGACCTATTTTGTATCTATTAGCCATAGCTTAGCAATAAATCAATAGCAAAGATCACAATACAATTGAATTTTAAACATTACAAAACCCCTTTATATATAATTAAAAATAATTGATTATCCATAATCTAAACCCTTTTTTTTAATTTCCAAAAAAAAGTGTGGATAAAACGATGTAAATAATCCCTATCTCCCTATGCTAATAACCATTTTCACACAATGAATCCTACTAGGTCTTAGTTTCAATTTAATGACACACTCATGAATTCATACACATGGCAACCTGTGTCAACAACTAATTAATTATCTAAATGAAGAAATTAGAAAAAAAATAGAGAGAAACTATTCAGGTCCATTTTTCTTTTTATTGCATTTCATTTTATGAGTATTTTTTTTCCTGATAGTTATAGGAGAAAAAAAATAAAAAAAAGAAATAAGATGACAGAATTTAATCAACAAACATCATTAGATAAATATAATGGGAGGATAGAAATGAGAAATGAGAAATAAAATAGAGAAATTTCTTAGTTGATAATAGAAAATATAAAAAAAACATTTGAATAATTTAATCTGGAAAATGTCAGTTTAATTTAGATGAAGGATGAAATTAATGAATGATGGGGGGGGGAAGGTAATTAGTTATAAAATTTAAAAAAAAGGAATTAACAGTTTCTTCTTAATTAAATACTAATTTATTATATAAATTGAACAGTTAGTAGGGTGTATTCTATTTATGTCGACAAATTTACTTAGTATGTAATACTAATCAGATGTTGTAACATTGGCAACAAAAGTTTAAGAAGATCAAGTTGAAGAGAAAGGAAAAATAATTGAAAGATATTGCGGATAGGAAATATCATATAGAATGTAAAGGATGAATGATGGAAAGTTGAAAATGGAGTATTCAATTTATGGTTCTCATATTTAACAAAAAACGTTCTGTAATTTTGTATAAATACATTTGTTTGTCCACACCTTTATTCACGTTCACTACATTTGTTGCTAAAGGGAAGTCCGGGCAAGCGTAGTTCTGTGAATGCCGTTGTGGGGCTGAGTAGAAAAGGCGCTGGTTAGGGTGGTTTAGTGCGACAAGTTGCAGTGAGTGGAGTGTCTTGATGAGGTTGAGTTGGCTGTAGCACTTACTGTCGACGGAGAGGAGCAATAGGATGGCTCGGCAGGTCGCTAAACGTCTCGGCTGTTGGGTGAATTTAGCTTTTAAATGAACCCAGCAGGTCGACATTCTTACGGAGGTCAGCGCGCCGGTGAACTCCGCATTCTAACGGAGAGCGTCTCACAGACTGCGGTAAAGACGAAAGGGGCGCGGTGAGCGGAACCACGGCAAGAGCGACTGTTTAAACGGGGGCAAGTTTCCTTTATACCACTTATGTCGACTTAAGTAATATATATCACCAGTCAAAAGTGGGATGCCTGACGGCAGAAGTTTGAAAATATCGAATTGAAGAGAACAGGAACAGAGAGTGATTGTTGTGACAATAAAGATACGATCAAGTTTGGGACAACTGATAGAGCATTTTCAAATGAAGGATTGAACGTATGGTTTTCATATTGTACCAAAGAACTCTGTAATTAAAAAATGCATTTGGTTCTCCTCGCCTGTGTTTTCATTCATTTAGATGTCATTTATTATTCATATGAATTTATGATTACAATGTGGTGAATTCTATAAAGGATAAACATCTTAGACGACACAATAATAATGTCAAGAACCGCAGATTATATTCGTGTCAGTTCTGTGCACAAAATATGCTGGTTTTTTCATAATTTTATACGATATTACTTCACACAAACAGACTAGCACAGTTGATGTTTAACGATATAGAAAAATGGTACTTGGTACAATTGCTTGACTCGAAGGATTATTATATAGTTTAGAACTTCATAAGTCATCTGTTACCTGACAAGTTGTACTATATTGGTTTGACTATATAGATATAGACTCTAGACTGAGATATTCATTTGGATAACCATGAAATTAGTATTTAAATTATTGTTCACTTTATGTTTAGATATAACTTTAGTCGTATGAATACTGGCTAATAAACGTCTCCTATTAACACCAACAGACAATTAGTACATACGGAAGCATTTTGACTCTAATTATAGTCTAAATAAAACTGGAACATTTTTAGGAAACACTCAAGTTTATTATAGCGTGAAAATAAATTACACTTGAACCATTTACACTATATTATGTAATAGTCATATAATCCAATGTGGAAATTTCTTTAAAAATTTGCACTGATTGATAAAACTGTTCTCAGTTGTTTCTTTCTTATTACAGTTTGCAGTAATTTTCACTCTAACTGTAAAGAGTGAAATAAGTTAAGGCGTCATTTACGTTGGTTAAACCTCAACCCAAGGGAAAATAATACTTTTCTTGAAATACTGGTAAGAATCGTCATAAAATACTGAAGGGTAGTATTTATTCCTGATCTTCTAAATTTCACTTTTCAATATTTATTCATTTTATTGCATTTTGAGATTCTAATTTTTTCTACAAGATGTATTCCGAACATATAATCCTTTTCATTATTACAAGGATTATGAAAACTATCTGGTTTGTAGTAGTGACTTCGAATAATTATCGAAAACAGTTGAGATCATGAGGCAATTGAAGCTAAACCACGTGGGAAACCTGGAAGCACTGGACGGCCGTTTCGTTCTATTGTGGGACTTTTCAGCAGTACGCATCCACGACCCAACCTCGCGGGATTTGATCCCAGGACCTACCAGTCTCGCGCCAGGCGCTTAACCAACTAGACCCCTGAGACGGCTGGCATCCAATGGTGTTAATGTTTAACTTCAACTAATCCACGAAATTGAGCGACACACTAGTGACTGGCTTCAAGATATATATCCTGAAGTTCTAGTGAGAAGCAGTGACCAGTAGAGTTCAACCGGGTCAGCTGTGAGGTAGTATTGCATTGATGATGATGTTGGATGTGTCACTCAATTTCGTGGATTATTTGAAGTTAAACATTAACAATATTGGATGCCAGCCGTCTCAGTGGTCTAGTGGTTAGTTGCCAGCGCGCGAGACCTATAGGTCCTGGGTTAGAATCTAGCGGGACGGGATCGTGGATGCGCACTACTGAGGGGACCCACAATAGGACGAAACAACCGCCCAGTGCGTCCAGGTTTTCATGATGGTCTAGCTTCAATTGATTCATGGTCTCAACTGTTTAAATTACCACAATCTCCACAAAACCCCTTCTGATACTTATAACTGGGTCATTGTTCATCTAATTGTGAAATTATTTATTAGTATTTACCTACTATTCTACTAGGCACTAAATTTTACACAATTCACATCATTCTGTAACTCTCATATTTTACCACCGAGGAGATTTATTTCACTGTGTCTATTTTTTTAAAAATTATTTCAACTTGGTTTATTGATATGATTCAATAAATTTGAACTGATTCACATATACATACATACATACAAAAATATTTCTGGTAGATTTGATCTGATTTGAAGTATTTACAGTGAAGTATAGGTCATTATTCTACATTTTACAAATA